AAAACAAAAAACAACGAAAATGTGCCCCAAAATCAGCCTGAAATCGTGTAACATTGCAGAAATCGGTGGATATGTATTAGTAAAGATTTTAATGTGGTAAAATTTAATTTTAAGAGACACACACACACACAGAAAAACATAATATGATATAATTACCAATAATACTTGCTCTCGTTGTTGTTGTTGTTGTTTAGGTGGGATGATGATGTTATTTCCAAGAAATCAGTTGAGGATAACCCTAAAAACCAATTTATCAATGATACACTTGGAAGTGATTTTCATCATAAATTTATGAAAAAATAAATAAATGAGTTTATATTTTATAATATATAATATAATAACTGGCAACTGAAGATTATAAATAATAGTTATTGCTATTAGATGATGAAAATAGATTAGGTAATATTAGATTAGATTAGATTGTTGAATGAATTATTTATTTATTTAACAAATAATTATTAAAATACATGCAAGTACTACTTTTTATTAAAGTAGTAATTATGTTCTTCTGAATGCACCATTTACAGTGTTTTGTAAGGTCATCTGTAATGTTGATGTCAGGGTGCTTGCTATATTTGCACCTAAATCTCTTGCGGCTGCACCAGCACCACTTCCAGCAATTGTTGCCATTGTACCCGTTGTGCGTCTCTTTAATTTTTTGGCTTCACTAACTGCTCCTACAATCTCTTGAATATTTGTCTCCAAAACCTAAAACACATCAATCATTTAATGTGAGTGAACAGATGACAATTTAAAAAAATAATTTAATGAAATGCATCTGTATAATATATTAATTACCATTCCACCTGAGATTAATTCTGAAAGTATATTATGAACCTAATTATTAAATTCTTTTAATGTGATGATAATAATAACATAATCGCCATATTTATTATTTTTTTTTTCAGTTACCTCCTCAAAATGAAATATCTATATTTGATTAAGTAAATGAATGAAACAATAATGTCCAAGTTTAATGAATGAAATTATATGTCGTTATGTTTAATAAAATACTAACCAAATCAAGTTCACAAACATTTTCAAAACATTTATCTAAACTTTCCACAAAAACCTTAAATAAAAAATAAATCCATAAATATCTTTAGATCCCAATCCCAAGAAATATCATGATTAATATATCTATTTATTTATTGATTGATTGACTGATCGATTGGTTGATTTACCTGAATTAAATCCAATATTCCCAATTCACTTTCACATTCATCTACGACAAACACAAAATATAAAGTAGCATAATGTCTATAGATAACACGTGTATCTTTACCACCCAGCATTTGGCTACCATCAAGAAAATTACATGCTGTGTCTGGTCTTTTTGATACTAACGAATAAATTTCTAGTAATAATGCTTGTTGAGTCGCAATGTCCTTTAGTTATTATTTCGAAAAATTAAATTGGTCAATTTTACACTTTTTGGATTCTAACTGAGCTTATTTGAATTTCAATTGAACTCGTTAAAACAACTTACTATTTGTTGGTAAAATTTAGTAATTCTAGGCTTCCCTTGTTTATTAAATATTAAAACTGATTTAATCATTATTTTTTTATTTTCTTTTTTTTTAACAAAATATTTAGAGGAAATAAATTATGTGTAACGTCGAAAATTCCCAGACCCTATTACTAATAGAAATTTCCAGGTTCATGTTTTAGTTCTGGCGGCGAAATAAACCAGCACTTTTCGATGTTTTAGTAAATTAATTCTTTCTAGAAGAAATTCGAAATCCACCTTTGACTATGGTTGATCAAACTCATTACCTATTTAGGCCATCTAAATTAGCCATTTCTTTAAATCTAATATTTGGGGCATGCTTGCAACAAAACCAGACAAAGTGAATTAGTATTACCAAGAATTTCAGGGATCAAAATTTGGTAACGTGATTATTAAAATCTTCCATTTGTTATCCTTTTAATATTGGGTGATATATAGAATTACTTCTATATAAAAATAGTTAATTGAAACTCATTTACATCAGATCTACTATGGAACCCAAGAATTACAGTACCATTAGAAGTATTTTGAAAAAAAAACAAGGTGAAAAAATCGCACCTTACATTTTCAAAATAAATGATACTCAGACACTTGAAACTTATCTAAGAAAAGAAAGGATTACCTGATATGGGGTATACTGCAACAAAACCAGACAAAGTGAACATTGGTATTACCAAGGATTTCAGGGATCAAAATTTAGTGATTATTAAAATCTTCCATTTGTTATCCTCTTGATATATAGAATTACCTCTATATAAAAATAGTTAATATGAAGC